GTGATGTTTAGAATGTAAGAATCTACGATGATCTAGAAACACATTCTTCTGATAAAGTTCCAATCGCGTCGTATCAGTTGCATCTTCACAAACAGGACACGCACGTTGGCCTTTAATGCTATATCCAGATAGATTCCCGTATGCTGGAAAATCATTAATTGTGCCAAACAACATTGCCCTCAAATTGAAACTTTCTTTCCTATATCCATCATAAACCTCCACACCGTTCTCCCACAAAATCTTTAAATCTTTGATCAAAGGTGTCAAGTATACGTCTATGTCATTCCCTGGTTGTTTAGGCCCAAAAATTAACATAGATAACATCACGCACTTACGCTTCATACATAGCCATTGAGGTAGGTTATAAATCATAAGAATCGTAGGCCATGTGGTATGTGAGATACTTTGAAGACCATGTGGGTTCATTTCATCAGTAGATAATGCCAAACGAAGGTTTCTTGCTTCTTCTCCAAAATCAGGATAATCACCATCAATTTTCGACCACTATGGTGAATCTGCCAGATATCGATACTTTCCATCAATAATTCTTTCATATGCATGTCAAGTCAAGTGTCTTGCATTAGTTTCACTATGAAACATGCGTCTAAATTTAGGAATTATAGGAAAATACCATAAGACTTTTGCTGGAGACAATTTTTCTTATATCGAGATAAACCACATTTAGGGCACTCATTTAACGATGCATATTCGTTTCGAAACAAAACACAATCGTTTGGACAAACATGTATCTTATCATAGCTCATGCCAATAGAGCACAACATTTTTTTGGCCTCATATGTTCGATTAGGAAGAACATTATCCTCCGGAAGCATATCTCTCATAAGGGCTAAAAACTCTATGAAACTTTTATCCGACCATCCATTTCTCGCCTTTAAGTTGTACAACTTTAATACCGCAGACAGTCTTGTGAATTTAGTGCAACATTTATACAACGGTTTCTCTGCATCGCTAACCAACCTCTCAAACATTTTGGGACAATCTTTAAGATCTTCTTCAAGTGCTTCTGCAATCTCTTCGACTCGATCACAATCGTATGTATCCGTGTCATTGTCGTCTGGAGCATAGGTCGTCGTATTACTTTTCTCCCCCGGTTCAACATTATCGTTAGTTTTCTCACCATGATATATCCAACACTTATAACTTCGATCAATCCCACGCGTCAGTAAATGCGATTCAATTCATCTGCGTCAACCTAACCCACATAACAACAACCCAAGCAAGGACATTTCATTCGACTGAAGTCTTTGACGTGTTCAACAACAAACTTAACGAATTCCAATACCCCATTCTCGTACTCTTTTGACAATCGATCGGCAGTCATCCATTTTTTATCTATGGAATTACTACTAATTAAGGTAAACAAAAGCACTATAATTATTCACGCAACTATTTCAAAAGAACATAAAGAAAAACACTTCCGCGGACACAAAAAGAATATTAATACAAACTTTTAGAAATATTTCGTAAGATTTAATCGGATTAGTTCTAAATAAATATAGACTAAAATTAATTATTTCTATATAAAATTAATTGTGCTTTTTAATTGATATAGATAGAATGTTTTATAATTTAAGAAGTAGATAGTAAATAAATAAACTAGTCGGTAATGTTGAATTTGAACTTGACTTACCAAAGAAAGAAGAGGGGTTATTGGTGTCGACGGCAGATGATACTGCTTTGATGTTCTTCGAATCGGTGATGGTCTTCGACTAACTACACCAATACAAAAAAGTCTTAACTAACTTTTTAATAAGCACACTAACATTGAAAATGCATAAAGATGAGAATAAAATCACGATATCAATCCTCAAATGATTTCTAGAGTACTAAATAATATCACTTCTGCATAATAACATGAAATATGTTGAAAACCAATGCTACCTAGCAGCTATAAAATAGGGTTATACGTGTCTGACATTTTCAAGATGGGTTGAGGTATAAAGTGTATATGTGTCTGACATTTTTAAGATGGATTGAGGTATGACCTATAAGATGCAGTAGTACCATTAGGGATACATTGTTTCTAAGTACTGGAAGGAATGCAAATGCTAGGGGACATAATCGTACAAGTAAGAAAAGTAAAAGGAAATGAATACCTTGAGATACGACGAAGGAACGACAGAAGGAGGGCGGTCAGAGGGACGGCGGAAGGAGGGCGGTATCTAGAGGAACGACGGAAGGACGCAGAGAAATGGGTTTCTGGAACGACGGAATGGCGTTTCTGTGATGAATAGAAACGAATTATGGAGGGATTCTTTTTTTAATTCTAATTATATGACTTTAGACATTGCTTTTGAGAAGCGCTGGCTAATATGAAACTTTAGCAGCGCTTTTAAGATTTTTTTTTAAAATTTATATGACTTTAGACAGTGTTTGGGAGAAGTGCTGGCTAATGTGGTCTTTTACCGGCGCTTTTTTTAAGCGTTGTCTAAAGAAACCCTTTAGCAGCGCTTTCTATTTCTTTAGCAGTGCTTTCTAATATGGGCATTTAGCAGCGCTTTATACGTAGGCCTTTAGCAGCGCTTTTAAGAAGCATTGTCTAAGGTGGGCCTTTTAGCAGCGCTTCATACGTGGGCCTTTAGCAGCGCTTCTAAGAAGCGTTGTCTAATATGGTCTATTAGCAGCGCTTTGGAGAAGCGCTGTCTAAAGTGGGCCTTTTAGCAGCGTTTTGGAGAAGCGCTGTCTGAAGTGGGCTTTTTTAGTAGCGCTTTTACATAATTTCATTAATACTTTCCATGTTTTATTTTTTATTTAACTTATAGCAACGTTTTTAAGAAAAAGCGCTATCTAAGGTGCGCTGCCTAAAACCCTTTTTGGCGTAATATATCCAAGCTGAGATTCTACATAATACAAAATCCAACTTAAAGGGAGGTGTTACCTAACTGAGGCCCATTTGTTTTGATTGTAAGACTCACTTCATTATTCTTAACATTTATGACTATAAGTTAAGTTAGTTAGCAATATTAGAACTGGTTTGTTAGAAAATTGATTATATATTATTTTTTAGGTTGATTGTCTTTAACTTTTTCATGACATCTTCATTACAACAATTTTATGTATATAAAATTCAATAATCTATATATCACATGTCTTTTATATATATATTAAAAATAATAATAATAATAAAGAACAGATATACATGTTTTTTTAAAAAGAAAACTATAATAAATAAAGAAAATGGAGTGACAAAATATAAAAGAATATTAACCCTATTCATATATAGGTATTGTACTCTCAATAATGTAATAGATGCCTAACTAATAATGAAGTACAATTTGAAAATATTGTATAAAAGAGATTAAAGATAGTGTACTGTTAGTGTAAATAAAATAATTTTATATTATTATTTAAATAAAATTATAATATTCAATTATGTAAAAAATATTTTATGCTCTTATTTTTTTAAAATTTAATATTTAAAAACTGAAATAGTATTTCTATTTACTATTTACGAGTTGAAATATGTTTTCTACAAATTTTTTTTTAATATAAATGAATAATTAATAAAGGTGTAATATTTTATTGAGAGCGAGAGTCCCGTGATATTTGATGGTATTATTGTGAATAATAAAGATAAAAAAGAGAAGAAAAGGAAGGCAAAAGATGAGGACATATCCAGCATCGATGATGACCATTAGCCATGGATAGACAGAGTGTAGGAATGGATGGAGTTGGATTATGTTTTGTGAGGGAGAACTCACAAAACATTGAAAAAACAAATGAAGATGAATGCCACGTGCTACTCCTAACATGTGCAACCATTATCACAACTCATAATGGATGTTTACTGTTCCAACACAAGACAAAATATCCATCATCCAACACATTCATTAACTCTTCTTAATTCGCTGAACAAACGCATTTTTAACTTAATCACAATATGTTTTCCCTTAAATGACTTTATTGCCCTTCTCACTGGTTGGTACTAGTAGCTTTTTCTTTTTCTTTTCACTTTCACAACCTCATGACTAAACTTCCAACTAACAGCCTTTATGTTTCTCAATCAACACCAACCCTATATCTCTAAATTCATAAAATATTATATTTCTTTTAAATAGTTTATTCATGACATTAAAGCGGATTAACATAGTACACTCCACTTGATTACAGTATGGAGTGCCAGCTGTCACAATGTTAAGGGGTCAACCGTATGTCTACATGTCCATATCACGCCGTTAAACTCCGTTAAACTCCGTTTCACCACAGCAAGGGCACTTCCGTACTTACAACTCTCCTTCACATGCGGCCAATTACAGCACTGTACACAACAGCACCGAACCGAAACTGTGAGCGATAAGAAGAAGAGAGAGAGAGAGAGTAAACAAACGAAGTGTCTTTCACAAGAGCGAAGTGCTTCTTCCCGCAAAGCAATGCCACTCATCACATGAATTCATTGCTCTTTTCCCCATAACTTTGACGTTCCTCTCGTCATTTTCGTGCAAGTAACTTTCACTACTCAATAAAAACTAAATGAATCTGCATTTTTTGTACTGGATTGTGAATTATTCATTAGTTTCGGTAAAAATGTTTAATCATAGCATTAAATGAATTTTTATGTTTTAATTTGTCTAGTTTAGTTATGAATGAATTACAATTCAAGCCGATTTATATATTTTTTTTTTAATTTTTTTTTAATTTCTTCAGTGCCATTTTTTATTTTTTAGGTTCAGTTGTTTTGTTGTGTGTTTAATTTTGTAATGATTCGCAGTGTTCAAGATCTTGAAGAATAATGCTATATCTGGAAAATATTTTTCAGATGAAAGCTTGATCCACCTTGCAATCTTTGATTCTTAAGATTCTGCTATTTGTTTAATCAAAGGTAAAACTAGCCTTATTTTATTTCAATTTATAATTAATTTTCATGCATGTTATTTTTTAGGGGATATACTATTTTTGGTTTTTGTGGTAATGTTTTATGCTGAGAAATTAAGAATTATTAATAATGTTCTGAGGGGATTTTAGGTTGAATTTCAGAGAGAATGGCATCTTGGGATCATATGGGGGATTTTGCGAATATAGCGCAGTTGACTGGTGTTGATGCTGTGAAGTTGATTGGTATGATTGTGAAAGCTGCGAGTACTGCAAGGATGCATAAGAAAAATTGCAGACAATTTGCACTGCATCTGAAGTTGATTGGAAACTTGTTGGAGCAACTCAAGATCTCGGAGCTGAAGAGGTATCCAGAAACTAGGGAGCCTTTAGAGCAGCTTGAAGATGCTCTTAGAAGATCTTATATGTTGGTTCATAGTTGTCAAGATAGGAGCTACCTTTATCTGTTGGCAATGGGGTGGAATATTGTTTATCAGTTCAGGAAGGCTCAGAATGAAATTGATAGATATCTGCGGCTCGTTCCTCTTATTACTCTTGTGGACAATGCTCGAGTCAGGGTATTTGTTTATCTTTGTTTATCTGCTATCTCTTGTTGTGATTGGTATTTTTAGCTTCTGGATTTGTAAATTTGGTTTAAAATGTCGTTGACAATTGATTGTTTCTTTGGATCATTCAGGAAAGACTTGAATATATTGAAAAGGATCAACGTGAATACACATTAGACGATGAGGACCAACAGGCGCATACCGTTATTTTAAAACCAGATCCAGACAAGGAGGATACTGCGGTGCTGAAGAAAACTCTTTCATGTTCATACCCCAACTGTTCTTTCACTGAAGCGATTAAAAAAGAAAAGGAAAAGCTTAACCTAGAGCTACAGAGGTCACAAGCAAATTTGGATATGAATCAATGTGAAGTCATTCAACGGTTATTAGATGTCACCAAAGTAGCAGAGTATTCTCTTCCGAACAAGGGTTTACCTGAAAAAAATCATAAGAAAGAAAAATACGATTCTGATTCCAATGATGACAAGCGTCTCTCATCTGATGAAAATTACCATTCAAAAGTTGATACTATTTCGCCAACAAGGTAGTTCATTTCCCTCTTCCACAGCTTAATAATTTTGATTCACTTAGGATATCATAATATTTAAGTCAATGTTCAGCCACACTCATCTGACCTACATGAAGACTCAAAGTTTACCCTTAATTTTAACAACTATAAATTTTTTGCTTCTGCCATTCCTTTATTACTATTTTAGTTATTAACCTCGTATATGTTTGGTGCTTTATATGCATCCGCCTTGAACAGATTTTCTGTTTCCAAAAATGACGTGACCTCAACTCGAGGTGGAGGTTCATATCAACAGGAAGATTGGCACACTGATTTACTTGCTTGTTGCTCCGAACCTTCTCTTTGTATGTTCTCTCCTGCTTGATATTTTAACAGTTTGGTTAACTGTAATAGAATTGTATCTTCCTCCATAGGTTTATTACCTGTACATCAGGTTCCATTGTGTCTTCCTCCATATGTTTATTATCTGTACATTAGGTTCCATTGTGTCAGTAGCCATAATTCAAAATCCCTTGTTACACTATCATGAATTGTGCGCAAAACAAAAACAAGTCATATATAAGTGCTACATGCATCCGAGACTTGTTTAATTGAAAGATTAGACTGATAAGTATAATGTAAATTTTACTTTTTTTTTCTTCTTCCACCAAATTTTACCCACTCAATTTGCCTTATGTCTTTATAGTGTTCATGAGATTTTGTTCGACACTTAATTGGATGTATTGGACATCTGCATGAGAGTTAAAAAGAAAATTTTGAAGTAGGATAGTATGGCCTGCGCAATGTGCGTGGAATAAAAAGAACAATTTTGAATTAGGAATCGGAAGATTTATGTTGTTGGGCCTCTTATTTTCATGTGAATCTTGTCAAGGTGTAGTCCCACTCAACTTAAAATCCCCTCATGTTTTAGTAAAACCAGATGGATAAGGAGCCCTCTGAACAGCAGAAAAACATGGAATTAATACCAAAAAAAATCAGCTAAAAGATGGTTCTTCAATCTCTCTAAACTTTTCATTTTTGGTAATCCGTATAGCATTTGATCTGCAGGTATGAAGACACTCTTCTATCCTTGTGGAACATTTTCCAAGATTGCTTCAGTTGTAAGAAACAGGCCCATGTGTAAGTTACCTATCTTGTGTGTGTTAGGCCTAAGTGATGAATCTACATTTGAGTAATGTTTCTTGCAAACAAACCTAGAATCCAGTGAATCATGTTGGTATCTAACCTGACATTATACTATTTTGGTTCAATTTAGATTTTATACCTTAGTAAAATACTTTTGTTGGTTATTATGACTTACGTGGGAAGCTAGCATTATGAAATCCTTGCAATATCTGCACCTCCTTATGTTTTGAAATCCTTAAGTGGAATCTTGAAGAAATTTAATTTACCAATAGTGAAGACATGAAATTAACTTACGCGATAATGCCAATGGTTCTTTATGTTGCTTATATATTTCTTTTTGGTTAATTTACCTTCAACTTGGTTAATTTCAAACTCTTAACCATTATTAAGGTTCTGCGATTATAATTTCAGTTTTGTGTTTGGTCAGCCTCTGCAGAAGCGTGTAATGAATTGATGGCTTATTCGTTAATTTTGTCATGTTGCTGCTATACTTGCTGCATACGGAGAAAGCTTCGGAAGATGTTGAACATCACGGTAATGCTTCCTTCCTTCTCTGCAAAAATGACTTCTTATCTCCTCTTTTTGTATGTGTTTGTGGATTTTTATATAGTTTGCTCTGTTGAAGATGCAGCTGAGCAAAAACATTTCATTTTACTGAGGGATATAATCTAAATTGAACCCAACTATAGTACATAACCCCAACTAAATTTCATTTCATTTTACATAGTCCATAACCGCAACTATTTTCCTTAACACGAGGTAGCAGCTGGCTAGCAGTCATTGGCTGTTTTTCAGCATTATTAAGGGCCCGTTTGTTTTGGCTTTTTTTTTTAAATGATTTTTATAGTGTTACATAATTGTGTAAAAAAAATTTACAAAGAAATTTTTTATGAAAATTTGGTTTGGATAGTTATTTTTAAAATATTATTTTAGGTATTTCATCTTCTTATTGAAACTTTTTTTGGATATTAAAATTTTAAAAAATCACTTAATTTTGAAGCTATTACAAATAGATTTTCATAAAAATCATTTTTGAAATACAATTTTTTTATAAATTGCGATTTTGACTATGTTTTAGTCTTTAATAATGTATGTTTATGTTATAGGATGTCAAAATTAGTGTTTCAATTTAGAAAAAACGAATATAAAAAAACTTATAATATTTTAAAAAACGGTTTTCTAAAATTTATTTTTAAAAATACAACGAAAAAATCCATTTTTTTAAAGCTGAAACAAACAGGCCCTAATTCTTTTTGTGCAATTTTGCTTAGTCTTATACTTACTATTTCAAAATAGATTCTGTTTGACCAATTTTTAAGGAAAGTTATATAGAAGTGTTTGGCGGGCCTTAGCACGACATTAAGGTTGCTGCTTTGAGACCTAGATTGGAGGTCACAAGTTCATATCCTGAAAACTGTCTTATACTTAATATTTCAAAATAGAATCTGTTTGTTGAATTTTTAAAGCACGTTATAAGAAAAAGTATTTGACGGGCCTTGGCACAACACTAAGGTTACTGCTTTATGACCTAGATTGGAGGTTGCATGTTCATATCCTGAAAACTGTCTCACTACTCGTAGGGGTAACACCTACAACGAAATAAACTACTACACATGTATTTGTTAAGATTTAAGCATGTGTTCAGGCCTACGATATTTGAGCATATGTTCATGCCTACATACATTGGTCTCTTTAAATATTTCATGTTGCTCACAATTACTTTTTATGGTAGGGGGGCTTTGTTGATGATTTTCTCTCGCATTTGATGTGTTGCTGCTGTGCCCTTGTACAAGAATGGAGAGAAGTGGAGATCCGTGGGATTAGTGGTATGTCCTCATATTTTTCATCTTGCAGTACTAAAATATTGTGGAAACTCTCGTTTGCTAGCTTGTTGTGCTTGTTAATTTCCATTTACTATGAAACATTTTTTTATGGATTTTTAGCCATAAATAGTTATTGCTTATCAGTGCTCATCTGGCATATGATAACACATTTGATGTTGAATCGTTTTACAGGTGCTGAAAAGACCAAAACAAGCCCTCCACCTTCCCAGTACATGGAATCTTAAGTTAAAAACGAAACTGTCATTTGGTTGTTTAGTGATCCAAAGGTCCTAGAAGACATTAAATAGAGGCTACTGGAATTCTAACTTGAAGGCAAGAACTATGTATTTTGATTCTCAACGAACCTTGCCTAGTTTAAACTACGTATGTATAGTAATTTATTGTGTTGTATTGTACTCCACAAAAGTAGCTTCTAGATTTATCTGATGTATCATCGTTAATGTTGTTTTCCTGGTTTAATATAGTTTATTTCTTGGTATATTTTGTCGTAGTCTTTTGTTGGGGTTTTCTGTCTAGTTCATTAGAAGCATGCAGTTTGGCACCCCACTGCAATGCTACTAGGACTGTTAAAACCAAACCAATTATCTTTAGTTAATGAACTGAATCATAATTTATTAAACGGTTCAATAACCGAACCGAATTCCACGAACTGTTGTTAAATAACCAAACCATTATCTTTAGTTAATGAACTGAATCATAATTTATTAAACGGTTCAATAACCGAACCGGGCAGTTTACCGAACCAAAACCAAGAGAACTGAACCGCTAACCATATATATGGTACTACTATTTTAGGGTTGTACAATTTAGTCAAAAAACCTAACTGAACTGAATCATAATAACAGTTCACTCAAACAATACCGAAATAGTACCAAACCATTTTAATTTGTTCAAAACTGAACCAAATCAAATTATTTGGTTTGGTATTACCGTTTTTCAATTTTGAATCATACTTAACCATTATTGACCCAGATTTATATTTGTACATCTCAAAAATATTAGTCTTGGTCGAGTAGTATAATCGTCGATGAAATGATAAGACTAGTAAGCGGCTCGATAGAAAATGGTATCAGTCTACAACCCGACTAAGGAGCTCTGTATGGTAATTATACCTCTGGGGAGCAGCCCGTATATACCTTGGATCCAAGTAAGGATGGTGACCGCAGCCACTTGCCCATAGCCGGCTATAAACCCGGCTCATCAATGCTTGTAACCGCCGACGGCGCATTCATTACAGTATTACATAATTTTTATCATCTTCATTTATGGAGACGGCGGAGGTTATAAAGTTACGAAACTCAAGAGTCACTCATTAACGGAGGCTCTTGATGATGCAAAAGAGGCATACTATATAAGAGACTCATGCAAGAGGGATAAGCAAGACATTTTTCTTGGGACACGCGTTTCACTGATGTAGCTCCCAAATCCCAACTAATCAGCAAAACCTACTTTCGTGGTTTTACCCATCTATAGCGGAAGGTCGGGCGTATATTTGTTCTACGCAAGAACATTGACGTCCACTGTGGGGCCTCAGTGAAATTATTCCTAGACCACACTCCAATCCACACTCGATAGAATGTCATCGCCTGGAGACCCCTCAGACATGGCACAATTATTAGCCATGGTGGAGGCCCTTAGACAAGAGAACTAAACACTACAAGATAGTGTCACAGACCTGCAACAAAGAAGTATAGAGGACGATGACCCATAAGAGGAGCTTCTGGAACCCCAACCTCTCTCTCAAGCTATCTGGGACGATCAATTTCCGGAGAACTTCAAATCACCGTTGCTGACAGCCTACGACGGCAAAACTGATCCTCGAGAGCCTAGCACACATTTGCCGATAAACTGAACCTTCATTCACAAGCCTAGCACACGAATTGACAAGTCTGAAAACTCCCCCAAACTCTCCCTAACTCAGAATTGCCTAAAAATACCATTTTAGTGCAGAATCTGACCTTGCATTTCCATCTCTCAAATCACTCGTGCATTCTTCCTCAAAATCAATCACAAAGCATCTATACATCATTTAGAATCTAACCAAACACCTGTTACATTTCTGTAACTCCATTTTCACCTTCCTACATTTCCAAAATTAGTAAGCTGCACATTGACTTCTCTAGAACATCTCAAGCACTCTCAGCTTAAAGCAACTATTGTAATAGCTTCCTGGATGTTCAAGGAAGCTAACCAGATCACTACAACACCTTGAAGTGAGCTCTAACTCAAAACACGATATCCACTTGCAAGGTGAGTTTTCTAATTTTCTAACTCTTCATATAGGCATCATTTGACTTCCATTTTCAAAGATAAAATATAGACATCATAGCCCTGAAACTAACTATGCTCTTAGAATTCATTTATATTGCCTGAGTGATGTGAATTTTAAGTTTGAAATTGCTAAAAAAATTAGGTTAGATTTGGTACCAGTTAAAATTCGTATTCATCTTTGATCCATTGTTTAAGTTAGTTACATATTCAGAATCATGGTGAAATTTCTAACAAGTATGATGTTTACACTTTTGAGAATTGTTGAGAAAAGAGCAAGGTACAAAATTTAAAAATGATGTTAAGACTTGACGCAAGGAAGAAGATGAAGTCATATTCAGGGTTGAGTTTATCTTAAATTTACCGCAACATGTTTCTATACCGAATGAAACAACCACCCCAGTGGCAGAAGAAGTGCGCGTAAGGCATTTGTGTAGAAGGTCCTGGGTTCGAGCCCAGCGAGACCTTTTGCATTTTTCACATTTTTTCTTGTTCTTTGTTTTCTGTTTGGACACGTGCGCTTGGGCCTCCTTCTGCTGGGCCTTTTCATTTTATTTTCTCTCACCTCCCTGAATGCTAACAACACGCAGCCCATTTTATTTTGTTTTGTTTTTATTTTCTGACTTACACAAAAATCAGTTTGGACCTTAACCAAACAAAAACTATTTTTCTTATTAACCTCCTAATTTCTTTTCTAACCCCTGGCCTTTTTTTATATTTTCATTTTATTTTATTTTCTTTATTTTATTATTTTTATTTTTATTAAATACTTAGACTAAAATTATTATTAGTCTATTTCTGTTTTTGTTTCATTTCTTTTAAACAAAAACTCAAAAGAATATGTTCTTTCTTAATTTAATTAAAATAAATTTAGACTTAGGTTTTGTTTTAATTTGCTCTTTTAATTTAAATTAACTTATAATTTAGGAATCTAATGAATTAACCCCTTTCTTTTATCAACTTTAAAACCTTTTCATACAAAAAACCATAAAATTTTTTTTTCTTTTCTTTTACATTTCCTTTATATTCTTGTACATTTTATTTTGCATTATTCAATTTGGTTGTAATAGTAACTAGGTTTTAATTGTTTTCATCCTCATTTGTAATTTGTAATCCAACCCCTAAAATGATGTAATAGCGTAGAACTTTCAATTTCCGTGATTTTTCGCTTTCCATATTATTACTAGTAATTCAGGTTTGTATGACAAGACATAAAATCAACAAATAGACAAACCTAATTCAAGACAAATGCATGAAAAAAATACACTTTGCACGCTTGCACCTCTAGGGTCAACTCACACATGTTGCCTTAGAACAAACAGTCATGTCCCTCGAACGTGGGATACTTTAGCAAAGACCCTCGATTACAAGATCGCAATCCCTCGATGATCCTTCGATGTTGCCTTCGGTAAACGATCTTAGACCCTATAACAAATTGCTAAGGTATCCTGCAAAGTTGCCTTCTATGACTATACGATGACCCACGTTTTCCCTTCACATCCAATGATATGGTTTCTTACTAACTAATAGTGAGATAACACTATTAAAAAGAGGAAGAAAAGAAAAAAAAGACTTTCTTTTGAGTAGGTACGTTTGTGTTGTTTGCTCGCAAATATTTCAAAACATATTTCAAATACACCAACACTTTCATGAAATATTTTCAAAAGTCAATACTTTGTATACGTTCTCGCTGAAACAAGAAATGTTACAAAGTTCGCCTAAACAAAGGCACTTTTCAAATATACTTTCAAAATAAATCCCAAACACATTTTACAAATCATTTCAAAGTGAGCTAGAAACTAAGAGCCCGTAGATAACTACGGATGGAAAGGGTGATAATACCTTCCCTTTTCATAACCTACCCCCCTAACTCAAGAAAAATTCTCAAAAGGTTTTTCCTGTTCTTTTCACCCTTTCCTTATTAGATAAAAAAAGTCGGTGGCGATTCTTGCTATCCGCAACAATTGAGATAAAATACAAAATACCCAAGTCAGTTCTCCCATCGTATTACAGAACTGGCGACTCTACTGGGGAAACTTAAAAGTGAGGTTACCTTAGAGACTAGATCACCTTTAAATGCTTTCATTTGTTTGACGTGTTTGCTTTACATTTTTGGATCCATGTTTGGGTTTTAATAGAGCCTCTACCCGGATCTGGGAACATTATTAGGCAAGTAGTAATAGATCATGGAGACTGTACGGCGTAGACCGATATGGTTGAAATAATAACTACGTTAGTGTGACACATTTGTGGGTACCGGTATCCTTTGTGTTGAATCAAAGAGAATACGGGGCCGCTGTATGGTGTCATGAAGCACTAACTGACCATAGAACCTTTAGTTGAACAACTTGTCCATTAGGAAGTAGTGAGATAGTCAACTTTGGTGCAGTCCGAAGTTGGTTGATACTCGATACTATGCTCATTGAGATCAAACTTTCGGGATATTTCGGTCGCTAAAACAGAGGCTTGCGCTGAAACAATGACCGATGAAGAAAGATCAATGATATTGAGATTCCCTAGTGTTGTACCCACAAAATTTCCCTCCCATTTCATCAACATTTTCTCATCACAAGACTCTTGGAACTGAAGATCAAGCTAGGGTTTGCTCTGCTCAAGACACTTCCTCGCATTGTTGACCTAAATTAAGGTTTGAGTTTGCATAGGGATATTTTGACCTACAATGCCCAAAATTACTTTCATACTCCATGTTGGATCCATAAGTTTGTCCATACCAAGTTTCAAGCCTTAATTCAAATTTTTGCCCAGTCAATTGGACAGTTGACCTAGAAATCAGCTGTATTGGGAAAAAAGTCAATTGTGGCCCATTGACAGTCAAACCTCCTGAATTTTGACCCACATTAACATAATAAACTCATATATGTCATTTGATCAATTTTGGATCACAATTCCACAAGAAATTTGATCAGATCACCAAAAGGGCAAAATGGTCATTTTT